GTGAGCAGCTTGCTAATGAATACTTCTGCGTCGCCACAGTTCCATAAATTGCTTGCATTTAAGTGCCTGAATAATTGCCAATTCGTGATCCGTGCACATCTACTGTTTCTGCAATTACCAAACTTCATGAGAGGATGGCTTATTAATACCGGCCAATGGTCACTGCCATGTGGCTCAATGTCCACTGTCCATTGTAATTCAGCTGCAATATCTGAAGAGTAAAATGCCACGTCTAAACATGCGCTATAAGATGGTCCGCGAAAAAAGGTCGGCAATCCATCATTTACGGTGCAGAGATTGTAACGATCTATAATGCTCTCTATGAGTTTTCCTCGAGAATCGCTATACAGTTCACCTCAGAGAGTGTGATGAGAATTGAAGTCACCGCACACTATGATCCGCCCAGACAAAGATGTTAAAAGGTGGTCCAAGTCAGTAGTAAAAACTATCTTTCTTGGTTCAGTATAGTGGCTCACTATGTGAATTTCACACTTCCTGAACTGAACCTTGCATGCCACATACTCCGGAACATCTGTTCTAGATAATCTGTGAGGCAACATGGTAATTCGTTGCGTACAGACAGAATTGGTCGGCTAGGTGTGTTGGTAGGGCGACAAGATCTGTACACAACATAGTTTGAAATTCTAAAGTTTGAATCTGGGCGGGCTTCTGATATGGCTAAAATGGGAAATATTTGCTCGTAAACAAGCCTGTAGAAGTCATGTAGTTTCCCTCGCAGGCTTTCAGCATTCCATTGGAATATCGCGACATTTTTTAAGCGATTATTCATATTTACTAGCACCGGTTAAAGCCGTGTTAATGGGTTCTAGAAGTGGTTCCATAGAAAGCAGAACCTGAACTTCTGAACGATGTAGATCCTGGTGTCATTTTAATAATGGCCTTGAGTGCGGCAAATAACATTGGCACCAGCATTTGTCCCATGTTGCTACTTGTGAGCACACCTCTGGAAGGAACTTCTTAAAGTGCTGCGGTACCTCTGGCTTTCAGGCGTCTTGATGCTGCAGTAGGCTTATCCTTTGAAGCTGGTACTTCTGATAGAGATGGACCTTGGAGAGACTTTGGGCTTTTCAGTGCATCGGCATATAGTTTCTTTCCATGGTGTGGCTCATTCTACTGACATTGTCGAGGGTGCTGTTTCGGCCTAGTGTTCTTCTCTATGCCAGGATTAGTGGCTGGTCGGCGATGTTTTCTGGTTCCATATTGTAGATTTTCTTTCTTCTGTTCCGCTGCTGCCTTTTTCTGAGGACATTTTCTGAACGAAGGCGAGTGTGATTCATCACAGTTAGCTCATCGAGGTTGGCGACGTGGTGTGCAATCCCTGTGGCTGTGAGAACCTGCACATATCTTGCATCTTTGTGGTACACTGCAGTATTTTGCAATATGTCTGTATCTTTGACATTTGAAGCATTGCACAACACCAAAGAACTCGGTCACTGGATGAATTGTGAAGCCCAGCATCACCCTTGCCGGCATTGGTTGGTTCGATCTAAAGTGTAAAATAACGTTCTTGTTGAAGCAAGTCTACATTTAACTATTTTCGGTCTGTTTTGTTGGCGATTGCCGATGAACTGAGATGACTCCCGCATCCTTCAGGTATTTTAGCAGCTCTGAGTCACTGTAATCCAAAGGAACATTCTTTATCCGACCAACGTTTCTTGAGTAAGAAGCAGGCACCTTTGCTTCTACAGCGATTCCCATTAATGTAGTAGTCGCCAGTAGTCTGTTAACTGCTTCTAAAGAGGCAACCAAAGCGAGAACACTTCTATCTTTTGTAATTTGAACTTCTAACAGTTTTTCCTTTGTCATGACTAGTACCTTTCCAGCCAAAACATTTGGGTTTACACACCAAAATTACCTGTCTTGTACAGAACGAATGACAACAGGTGTGCCTTGCCTTTGTTGTTTTTTGTTATTGATGGTGATGAAGGGGTCAGCATCTGGTAGGTCTTCGTCCTCATCAAAACATGACTCAGTGCTTTCTGATATATCTTCATTTGTCTTATGGCCCATTGCGGCATTTGTGGCGACGTCCTCGTTGTTCACCAGGTGTCCATTGGGAACATATCTTATGACTGAGCGTTCAAGCCCTAACCAAAATAAGTGTCGTCGTATCTGATCGTGCTTGGCCCACTCAGTGGTGTAGAGGCTGTTCAAAAGTTCAGGGAGAGAATTCAAAAGAGGACGTTCAGGGCAGAGAGTGCCGGCGGCACAGTTGATCAGGGTAGAATGCCGTCCATTAGGGCAGAATGCAAAGTCCATGCCGAAAATGAGGTCGTGAGGGCAATTTTTGAGCACCGTGAATAAAACGGCAACATGGCGGCTGGCAATGCTAACACGAGTTGTACACATTCCATTTATGGCCACAATTCTACCGTCAGCGACACGGAGGCCTTTAGTCGCAGCAGGGGTGAGGACTTTTTTGAGTAGGCGACACAGATGGGCATTCGTTACGGACACTTGAGCTCCAGTATCGAAGAAAGACGCCATCGAAGAAAGACGGTCCACACACCTCAATCAAGTTCATATTAGTAGAGAGCGTCAATGGAGGACTTGCATCAGTCGCAGTTGATGCAGCAATATTGAATAAACACAATATCTAGCACAGACACTTGCGCTTGTGTCTGCGGTGGTGTCATTGCCCCTGTGTTTGTCTTTTGTGCTGTGTTGTTTTGCTGCGCTACTTATGATGATAATAATGTTGGCCGAGTTGAACTCTTTTAGTCAATAAGCACAATATTTCAATACAGTGAAATCTCGCTATAATGGGCTTCAGGGGACCGCAGAAATTTGTTTGTTATTTTGAAAGGTCGTTACAGTGAAATCTCGAAAATTAATCATAAATACTTATTTTTCACCAATAAAACGACTTACCTTTACAACGGTGGGTCGTTGAACTCATTTTTTATAAGAAAAAAACAAATGCACAAGTAAACACGAAAAAATGCATGTTTACGTTAAGGAAGTCTGTAATTTTTTTTTTTTTTTTTTTGACGCGAGCAGCACAAATTTTGCAGCGCGAAGGCCTTCAGCTCATCCACATTCCTTTGGTGCGATTCGATTCTTTGGTCACAACAGCATGCTTTTTGCCTTCCAGTTGCCGAAGAATATTCATTGTCTCGCTTAGCCTAAACTGCTTCCGCTTCTTCGGCGCAAGCAGAGATGAACTCATTTGTAGTATCACCGCAGCGCGAATGCCGCCTTGCTTTGCGGATGCGATAAGTAATCCCCGAAAAGAGATGAACACTACTGAAAAAACAAGGCCTCTAAAGGAAAACTCAAAGCCTGACGGCTGTCATCGCCTCTTTCAAAGAAAAAAAAGTGCTAAAAAAGAAAATTTCTCGCGTTTCCTTTTCTGCTCTCTCACTGTCTCAGGTTTTCCGCGCATATGCTTCCTGCTCCGCAACTCCCACTCTGCCTCGCTGACCTTGCCCTCCCGTGTTGCCCTCGCCTCTGAGCCCGCTTGTTAACCTGCTGGGTCGGCGTTTCAACAAAAAGAAAAAAAAGAAAGTCACCCTTTCGTTTTTTTCCTCCACACCGTCGTGCGTCTTCTGAGAAGAAAGGGGTCCATTCGCTTTGTCGTCTGCTTGGGTATCGCTCCGGTGGTCGAGATGGATTTCAGAACATAAGTTCATAGTTCTGAGGCGTTAATATAATGCGGAACTAAATTAATGCTCGTTATTCTAAAAAGTTCGCTATTCTGAAGTACGTAGGAGTGAAATAATTTTATATTGAAACTATAAGCAGTCGGCGCGGGATTTTCTGAAAGTTTGTTCATTTGAAAAGTTCGTTAATATGGGGTTCGTTCTACCGAGATTTCACTGTATAGCAGCCGAGCTTTAGGGAGCTCTGAAGAGTGCTGACAAGAGGGTGGCTCATTTCAAGAACACAAGCCCGCCTTTTCCATCCTCTTGTGCTGCCCTGTACCATTTCGGTAGGCATTTGGTAGATTCCAGAAGAACCGGTTTCAACCGAACGAAGGGCTCCGATATCGAGAGATGTTTTGTGGCTTTTTCTCTAAGGGAAAGAAGCATGCACCCTGGAATCGTGAAAAAAGTGGATTGCTAAACGTCGTCATAATAGCACTACAGTGTTGACCTATGAAAACATTGCAAAATAACACAAAAAACTACCCTGATGATGACGAGTCATCTTGCCCAAACATTGGCTTCAGTGGCATTCTCTGTTCAATGAATTTTCATTGCTGGGACAACGTGCCTGTATACACGACAAACATGCTGTTTTAAGGCAAAGCTGTTCGTATGTTTGCAGGAGTGGCATATGTGCTAAAGTTTCATAAATAATAATAATTATGATAAATAATAATAATAATAGTAATAATAAAAAAATAATAATAACAGGCAAAATAGTCTTGTTGCTCTTGCTATTGTAACTTAATAGAATTAATATGGGGCACGTTAAAACACTGCAGAATCGGAAGTTCATGGGTTGACCACTTGGCCCATTCCCATTAGCAATATGTTATAAAGAAAATTTTTATACATCATAGGGCCAAACTTTATATTGGGTGTTTTTCGAATGCTATTGGGAATAGTGAAGATAAATGTTTTGTTTCGTTCTGCTCATGGCGATAGCGGGATTTTGCATTGCCAGATTGCTGCAATGAAAATTATCTGTCATACATAAGAGAGAGAAATACTGCCACTGAATGTTGTAGATGTTGAGTGGAGGGGTGGCAGATCTATAAAACCAGTCCCTGCTGACAAGAAACCAATCCGAAAATAAGTTTCTGGCTACGTCACCGCTTTTCAATTGTAATTTATGAGCACTATATGAAGCACAAGCATCGTGGATTTGTTGGGCCTTATTGTGGAAGAACTGGTATATATGTCAAGATGCACTAGCAGTAAGACCTGTTTTGTATTCAAATAGGTTACATCAATTCAACACATATGCAGGCACCAACATATTTCTGTTACAGTGCTGGTCAGCTAGAGGCACTGTAAGTTCATTTCTTTCAGGTGGCCGCTGCCCCGTGGTGGCTGCCCGTCAAAGGAGCTGACTGGCGGCACCCAGAAGGACCCGACAGCCACATTCGTGACCGGTGCGTAGAACACAAAAGTCTTGCTATTGTGACATTGGGAATTGTATTGTTGTTATACTAGAGGAGAAGTCATTTCTACTGCCTGCGGTAGAAAGGTTATCCTGCACCATTTTACTTGAATGTGCGGAAAGCCAGTTGACATTGTTTAAGTTGTCCAAACTGTAAAACTCCCGTTGCTTCCGCGTGCGACAAGCGGCTTTTTCTTTGGACCTAGCGCAAAAATCCTGCCTATCCGCGATGAGGGCGTAGCGCGCATAAAAACCCGGTCGCCACGTCTCCGAAGTGCCTCTGCTACATCGCGTGCAGCGCTGCCTGCATTGGTGACCGCTTCTCCAGTCCTCTGACCTCTCTGCCTTTCTGTAAATAAACCTGTCTCTCTCTCTAACCCAGCTCTGCGTCTGATTGATCGCCTCCTTAGCGTTTTTTCTCCGAGCTGCGTAACGACAACGGCGAAAGGTTGTCTGAATACAAGTTCGCATTTAAGAGCACACCGTACAGAAAATAGGAGGGAAAAAATTGGTGGACCCTTAAGCTTTGCCTTTAAGAGTTGAATGCGAAAGCGAAATCCGTACCCTAGTGCGCCCTTCAACCGCTAAGTGCATACTTATTAATATTTTTTGTTACACACACTCACATAAAAAAGCACGCGCGCAAGCGCGACATATCTATAGTAATGCAGTGACTGTGCAGTGTGGCCACTTCCTTATGCTAGAACGGCTCTCTGCTGTAGTCGAGACACGTTTTTCACAATTTCTCACAGATGGCACACAAACACACACATGCACATACCCGCGAATGGTACATACAGGTTTTTAATCTATAGCAAGAGTTGCATGACCTCCAAGATAAACGCTGCATGCTCACCATCTCGGAGGCCATAAAGAGTCTCACAATGCCTCACAGATAGCAGCACATTATCTAGTGTTTGTTGTTTGCTTGATCAACGCCTCTGGAAAGGCATGATATGTTTTCCACTAGATGGACATAGTTGTCCATTTTTAGAGCTGTTCGAAAGTTCATGTGTTTCTAGCGGCGATGCCTGCACTACCCCGGCCTTTTTTGATGTAGTTTGATGACCTCCCAAATGCGCCTACACATCACCAATTGGGCTCGTTTTCGTCGTGACAACTGTCGAACAAAATGCATTAAGAAGACTCCTTTTACTACATGGCATTTATGTTTTTTCCCGAAGCAGCTGCAAGTAACATCGTGGCTTTGTGGTAGGACATCTGCTTGCCACGCAATCGGCCAGGCCGAAAATTTTATTCTTTATTTCATTTGCTTCTTTCTCGATTTTTCGCTCACGGACTATTTTCCGCTCACAACCAGCGATGCCGACGCTGACGGCGGAATTTGTGCGACATGAGCTCTCTAATGTTATCGCGTTAAAAAATCCTATTAAGGTCTGACAAGGGGGTACCCATACAACTCCAGCTTCAACCCTGGACTTACGGGAAAAATCAGCAGTCGCATTTTTCTTTATGATCTTTCTCATTCCTGTCTCCTATTATTTTCAATTACTTACTCATTTTCGTAGGTGGCTTGTGTTAACCGTGTATATGTGGACCTCTTTTGGACATGATATATTAGGTTATGGGGGCTTGTACGACTGGCATCTGCAGCCTTACATATTATGTGCTGCAGCGTTCCCGAGTCAGTACTTGAACTACTTGGTGCATACATTTTATCGTATAATGTTATTCGAGAAGTTTAAATTGCAGATTACCACAATCTAATCGATAAAGTTGAAACTGGCTCGAGTAAAGCTTCTGCATATGGCTGCATTCTGTGTAATGGGTAGCAGGCTTGAAATCATGGGCAATTGTGCCCATGAAACCTTTTCAAACTTGCTGTGCGCCCTCTACGAGGTCTTAAAGGGCCACTCACCAGGTGCCATACCGAATTTTAGTTAGACAGTAGAAGTTGTTGGGTGTCCGATGAGGAACATTTTGCCACAAAAATTTTTCGAATCGGTTCATCACGAGCGTAGAAAACAGGTTTTTTGAGGCGGCGCGAAACGAGGATCAGAGGAGGTGAGCTCCAAACCCTTGCCGCTCCTCCGCGTAGCCTTCGCAAGCCAAATCTCTTCTCCACCTTCTCCAGCATCCGACGATGAGGTGACGCGCGCATGACGTGCCCAAACAAGTCCAACCCCCGAGCACGCGAGCAGCGTTGCTTTGTTGACCAGCGTTATTTTGTAGTCTTCTGCCTGTTTCTGCGGGATGGTTTGGAAACGCTGGCTTCGACGCGTAGAGTAGATGAGCACAATGAGTGCGCCAAAACGTAGGAGCGTTCCACGGCGGTCGTCTGCTTAATGCGCTGACCGGGGGGACACGAACGCATACGAAACGCTGGCACATTAGCCCTGCATCTCGTAGCATTTCACGGGAAAAATTGAAAGAAAAACGCGCACAATTTTTTTTGTGTCTCATTATTTATTTCAAGTTTTATTAATCTCTTAAAGCAACAAATACATAAACTACGCATGTTGTGTTAAACAATTTTTGCCATGTCACGTGGTATACTCTTGACGTCACAGCAGAGTCGTCTACGTAGAGGAGCAACGTCACTGCATTGCCGTGTACGTAGGGCCATTGCTACGCTCCAGCATGCCCTCATTCTCTACGCGTGTGCGGGCAGAGGGGAGGGGGAGCAACGTTCATCTTGAAAATTGACCCATTTCCGTGGCCCGTAGCATTGCAAATTTTGGCAGACGTGATCATGAACACTTCGTCTATGCATTGCACTTGCCAGCTCAAAATTGTCAAACCTGGTGAGTGGCCCTTTAAGAAAATACGTGCAGTAATGTGTGTGCTTTTTGTAATGAATGGTCAGCTTTATACCACGAGGTAGTTATGATAATCACCTGTTATATTGTCCTACGGTATTGTAGACTTGCACGACACAATATTACTCCGATATTACATGTTGTATTGTGAAGCCTGTACACAGGACAGGTGCATTTGTAAAGCATGAATTTTAGTTTCACTGCATTTTCAAGCAGACCCGTGGCTGTGTGGTAGAACACCTGCTTGTCTTGCAAGCAGCCCGGGTTCGATTTTCACTCCTGCTCGAAAATTTTTATTAATTTTATTTGCATCTTTCTCAGTTTTTTCAGTTACGGATAAGATTATCACTTTTAGCACACAACCAACGATGCGGACACTCATGTCAGTGTTGGGAGTTTTGCCAAATGAGCTCTTTAACACTATGGTGTTAAAACATCCTGTGCATGCATTATGTCAGGACACGTTAACATGTGAAAGATAGTGTGGTAGAAGAGTAACATAACCTGGCGTCACAGAGTGCGAATTCTGTAACCTGGCATCACAGAATGCGAATTGCATAACTGGTGGGTCGTTGAATTCTTACAAGGCATTACAAAAGGATCAGTCATAATTTTTCATTGCCATCAGTCGTAGCGGGTCCCTCGCAAGCACACTTGTATTAGTTGCCTCTGGATAGTCTATGACAGGCTCTAGAAATGTCGCTCTTCCAGCTTTCACTGTGATTGTGCTGCAGTTTCTGCACAGGCCTAACGATTCTTGCATCCAACGAGAGGCCAAACTCTGAACAACCTAGAAATGTACTGGTTAACGTGAGTACATCATGAAAAAGTAATTGCACTATGTTCTTAAAAGCCAATTTTATTTCCTACTCTACAATGACGTTACAACACAGTATCAGCCTCTCGTAACGTTTTTGCGCTACATATCCTGATGCCTATATGGCCACTGCCCCTCCATAGCTTTGTTGGCAACACACAACTGACCATTTTGAATATTTTTGGTGATGCAGCATGATCGGCCATTTTGAATGCTATAGAACTAGACCTATCACCAATAGCCATGCTGGTGCATGTAGTCATAATTATTGTGACTTGATTGACGTCACAATAACGTCGATGTCTATAGGTGCACCATGAAAAAATGAACATTAATGTCAATATAAACAGTCTTATCAGCATTTACTGAACTTCACCCTTGCTCAGAGCCGTCTTTGTACACAGGAGATTTTTGCAGCAGAGTAAAATTGCCTTGGAATATTGGTGTCCGTACTCCTTTTTATAGATAGGCTAAGTAATTGACCCCCCCCCCCTCTTTTTTATGAAAAGGTATGCATAGCTGCGTGATATTTTTTTTAAAGGAAACGTTGGGCAGTTCATGCAGTTCGAGGTCACACATAGTTTATATACGTACTGCCTTGCGAGGACCAGCCATGCAGCTTTAATCAAGACGTCTGGAGGAATAAACAAGATTGTGTAATGGCGTCCTACAGGATGGATCATCCCGTGGTGCACGTGTCATGGAACGATGCTGCTGCCTTCTGCAAATGGTCGGGAAAGCGTCTCCTCACTGAAGCCGAGTGGGAATATGCCTGCAGGGCAGGCCTCAAAAGCAGGTAGGACATTCATGAATTCACTAGCTGCTGATGAACTGAAACACTTTACGTAGTTACGTGACCATTCTTGAAAAAAAAAAAAAAAGCATTCTGACAAACCTAAAGTCAAAGCATACATAGGCAACCGCTTCTTGACATCTCAAGATACCAACCAGTCATCTCCACTTAAGTGTAATGAGCCTCCCAATATTTAAGGACTTTATTTTCTGAACAACGACCGAGCTAGGGACCGCACCATGCTCTGAAACAGGAACCTGCCAAAACTTATTTGGCAGGCCAAAGCAAGTTTGTGTGGCTGGCCAAAATAATGACCTGTCAAGCCAAATAAAAAATTATGGCAGAACCCGTGCACTTTTGGAATTGTTACGTTAAGGAGTCGGCTAAGAATTTGCACATGACAGACCGCACATTCCTTGAAAGAGTCCTGTGCTGTGATTAATGGCTTCATGTAAATTTTCTACTTTCATGCTTGGCGGGGACTTACTAGGCACGTTTACCACATTGTGATGCCTAAGGAACAATTTATAGTCCGATATAGACATGCTTAAAGCAAACACTAGTTTCATAAGATAGAGAAGCAATGTTCCACGTGCTGGCATATGCACATCCTAAGCAATACTTGTTGACGCTTTGTGGCAGGGTCAAGCAGCACTAGAGTAATGGCAATGTCGAGTGTATTTGTAACATTTACTGTATTTGAACTACTAGGTATTACACATGACTAGAGAACACTGACAGTTAGCCAACGTATATATGCTTTCCAAAATTGATCAACGCTAGCCAACACATGCCTGCATTGCAATGTCCTGGCGAAATTGAGCATTTGAAGTGACATGTCAACTAGACTTGCCATTATTTGTCACTCTACAAAAGGACCACTGCAAGTTCCCTCTAGCGAAGTTTATGATGGACTTGCAAAAGCTGAAATGTTTTGGGCCAAAGACGTCAGATATTAAGTTGGCATAAAGATTGCGATGTGTCTTTTGCGGGATTCAGTAGCCACCAGTTTAAGTTACTTTGAAGCAATGGCCAGTTGAAGAACACCAGCTAAGACTATTGGTATTATCATTTAAGAAGCAAAAAATATTGGCCACACGTTCGTATGTTGTGTCGTTTTTTTATTCTTGTCGCAATACCAGAATAGCAAGGTCATAATCTAGCAATACTTCTGATTGGTCTTGTTGGTAAATGCTTAGGAAAAAAAGTGCAGTAATAGAGATAAGAAAAAATATGGAACTCGTTCGATCATATTTCTGCGTCCATGTCTCAGCAAGTGCTTCTAACTTCCGTTAGGAGAATGAACTCTTTTATGAATCCCATTTGTTCATATGCGACAATGTGGCATCATATGTTCAACTTCAATTGTTTGATGTAAAAAATTGTACTACGAAAACAACTGGCCACAGTTCTATTTCGAACGCAGCTGGAAGTACTTACCATATTTACATGATTGTAAGTCGACTCGGAGTCAGGTCGACCCCCTGAAACTAACTCGAAAAAAAAAAGGGGGGGCTAGTGCGTTTTTATAAAAAAATCTATTTAATAGTCGCTAGACTGGCTACACATGCTCACTCATGATCCCTTTTCGTGAACTTTGATGCCCTTGTCATCCTGGCTTGAAGTGCGTCCTCAGCATTTTTATTTTCGATGCGAAGATGCAGGTGTCTTGCATAACAATTTAACATTCTATTAGCGAAGAACAGCAAGGGGAGGATGGGTGCTTACCTACTCTATATTTGGAGTCAGCATTTGCCCTGTGGCACACTTTTCTCCTTTCCTTGTAAAGAGTAGTGCTGTAATATTTGAACTAAGAATGTGTTAGCAACTAGTCCTGCCACGTGTTTTGTGAAGTCACAAGAAAAGACACGAATTTCGGTGTGCAAAGGTGACTCTATGGCAATGCACTGTAGCAATACCGGGAAGCTAGCTTTATGGCACTAAGCAGGATTTGTTTTTGGATAATTTTTTGCAAATCGTTGCTGAAGGTGTTTGTTATGTGAAAGAGAATGCAGTATATATTAGAAGTAGTGCCAAATGCAATTTCGTTGCCACCCCACTGCGTTTCTGAATTCTCACTTGCCGTGCCATAATGAGGGATACTTTCGGTTTTGATTGTAAGCACCCCCCACCCTCCTCTCCCTTATCAGATTTAAGTAAAGTGTGGACTTACAGTTACGCAAATGCATTGCGCCCTGTTGGGCAGGTTATAGGCTCCAAATGGGACCGGATGCTTTGAATTTAACTGGGAACCGTTTTAGTTGGTGGCAAGTTGGCTTGTAACTAAAATCAGCTGGTTTTCAACCGGAACCAATGTATCCTTGTTGATCTAGTTGATCGAATTTAAATTCACAAATTTTTACTTATGTGTGTGAAAAAAAAAGCCATATGATGTATTAACAAATGCTGCATTTAAACATTGCTGTGACGAGGAGTGCAAATAAGCACCTGGCATACCATGTTATATGCATATAACACTTGTGGTGAGCAACATATATGTCAACGTCGAGTGGTCGCGTTTATTCGTTGGCTTGCCTCTAAGCCCATTGATTCACGCTGCAGTTCCTTTCAGCAGCTATAAAGTTTTGATCATAAGTCACTAGTCCACCCATAAACTTAACGACAGATAAATACGAAAGAGCATTTCCACTGAAGTTGCGCTCTGCTAGGGACATTGTCGATGCTGTTATTTTGTATTAAAGATCTAGTGAAGGAATACTTCAGCCCACCGATGCCAGGCAGCGTGTGCACAGCCATTGCAACGACAATCATTTAAATCACTCCTGTGACCTACAGTTATGTCATCAGTAAGATAATTATTAGGATAAAAAAGTTGGTTTACGAAGTTTAAACTGCAATTCACAAAAATCAGAGATCGTTTGAATATAAAACGATATAGCTTTTTGACATTCTTTCTGATAGGCTCTTTCCGTGGGGCAACAACTGGGCTCCCAAAGGCGAAACTCGTGCCAACATCTGGGAAGGCAAGTTTCCAGTCACAAACACGGCGGAAGACGGCTATGTGGGCACAGCACCTGTGAGCATATTTTTCTACATATGCATGAAACTTGCAGACTAGAGAATGAAATTCATTTTGTGTCCTTCATCTCATGTCATTTTCAACCTGGCAGTTTGCAAATAAGAAGAAAAAGTGAGATATTACCACACTGTCAAGTGGCAGTATGAGAAGATGTCCGAAATATGTTGGTCACGCTGCATGTATCAACTATTACGTTCAAATAACAGTTCATTCAGGTGACTAAAAGAGTCAATATGGTATGGTAGAATAGGTTCTGTGTTTGTAGTATTATGCATACTGATGCGTGTTCATGTTCTTTTTCCATTGTGATCGTGTTTCCCAGGCTAATGATACTCTCAGTCATATCAGTTGCACTGTGATGAACTGAGCATCCCAGGCGCCATCTGAAGATTGGACTCTTGAATGGGCGAGCTTGCGCTTTCGAACATTTTTGAGTGTTTTATTCATGTTACGCGAGTGGTTGAACTAGAACTGATGCAAGCATCGGCGATGACGCAGCAACATGTGACGCAACATGCATACATACTTTTAATCTGCAGATGAGATTATCGATGACCGACGACCGTGCTGGTTGCTGTCATACTGTGTGTGTTAGTCACTTTGCAATGCATATGCTCCACCATGATTTATTTTGAAGGGGCCCTGCAATGCTTATTCAGGTAGCCATGGAATGAACTTACTAAAGGAGCTTATCACCTCACGAATTCACCGTTGCAAAAATATCTGGAACTCCTCCAGTACGAGCAAAATTGCAAACATTTTTTGCACGCTGCAATTGCATTCTCTCTTCCTGCCCCGACGAAAGCACTGGCAAGCTCAGCACGGAGGGATAGCGCGGTGGCAAAAAATTACACAATGTCCCACTGAAGGGAACCATGTGTAGATGCGGAGCAGCAGGCGATAACGCTTACACTGGCGGTGATGCTGGCGCTCATCACGACGTTGCGCAGAAGAGAAACCCGAAGAGGCGCAAAGCATGCAGTGATAGACTGGTGTTTCTTATTGGAACACGCATGCCAATCACCGCTCAGGGGCAATGAAATATAAAAGACTCTGATAGGAACACACTGATCTGCAGTCCGCTTTCGGTTAATGCGCACACTGTGATATTTTATTGTTTATTATACACTATGTTCAGCGCAAACCATGTATATTTATATTTTATTAATTATATTTATATTTATATAAATATAATATTTAATATTTATATTTTATTATACACTATGTTCAGCGCAAACCATGTATACGGTGTTAGAGAAGCTCTGAGGCAGTAGTGGATCGTTTTCTTAAAATTATGCCCGCTTCGTGAACCTTCCAGATTACTCTGGAACCTTCGTCACCGCCAGCGATAACACTAGAATGTTCGATGGCAAGTGTATAAATGCCGACACGCCTCGCCGCATAGTCACTTGATTGACGACTGATGCCCTGCTCGCCGCTATCAGTGCCAGCTTCTTGCAGTAATCTGACTGTCCTTTTCGTGGCCACAAGTTCGGCCCGATTAAACAGTTTATTATTCTACCTGCAGTCTGCTTCTTTCGTTCACGTCACAACTGCATGACAATATACTGTGGAATGCAAACGATGCTTTTACCTCCTTTCCTGTTTCGAATTTATTTCTAAGCGGTTGTAGCCTGGATGACTCATAAAAGTACAGTCATAAAAGTAAAGAGGGTTCAGCTTAAATTGAGGACGACGCAGCGAGCAATAGAAAGAAAAATGGTAGGTGTAACCGTAAGAGACAAGAAGAGAGCAGAGTGGATTAGGGAACAAACGGGGGTTAAGGATATCATAGTTAAAATAAAGAAGAGAAAATGGACATGGGCCGGGCATGTAGCGCAACGCTTAGACAGGCTAACCGCTGGCCATTAAGAGTAACTAACTGGATTCCCAGAGAAAGCAAGCGGGTTAGGGGAAGACAGAAGGTTAGGTAGGCAGATGAGATTAAGAAGTTTGCGAGTATAAATTCGCAGCATCAAGCACAGGACCGGGTTAACTAGCAGAACATGGGAGAGGCCTTTGTCCTGCAGTGAACGTCGTCAGGCTGATGGAGATGATGATGATGATAATGATGATCTCCGGTGATATCCACATGAGCGCGTCAACATCTAAACATGTGCACGCGCCGTGATGTTATCACATCCGTCCTACATGCAAAGTACATACGTCGGCTCTTTCATCTCTGTTTTAGCCGCGTTCATCGCCCCCACTCGCACACTTTTACCCAAGTGCAAAACACAATGCGCGGGAAGATATTATTAATTTGGACAGTACTCAAAACATAATGGTGACGGCCAGTGGTCCAGTGGTGTATCCAGGGGGGAAACATCGCGTACGTCCCCCCCCCCACCCCAAATGTTTTTTCACCATGGCACATATCGGGAAAAATGACCATTTGCCTGCCTGCCTTCTTTTAAATCAAGGTGCCCTCGCCCTCTAAAAAATGAAATGAACATTTCTTTCAATGCCCCTGGCGATGGCAAAATCCAGTCGAGAATGTTGATGTAGTTGCTATGGCAACAAAAATAAAATGGGACTTGCCATCAAGTTGACACCATGATCGAGAAAGCTAATGCTAGACTTATGGACTCAGGATTCGACTCACTTGAACTCAGATTGAGCTGTCAAACTGAGTCTGAGTGAGTCCAGGTGAGTAATATTTTGCTGAATTACAATCCGGCTCACAGTCATTTTGTTGAGTCTGAATGCGTGTGAGTTTTAAGTGTAAAATATATTTCATGAGTACGTGAACGAGCTCCACACTTTTCACCGACCAATGGTGACGAGTAATTTTTGAGCTGTATCGCTGTTTGTCGAGAGGAGAGAAGGCAATATTTAGCTGACTTTCAGAATTGATTGTGAATTCCACACTGCGTGCTGCGCTATATTTGGCTCGCGTGTTCTCAGGTGCCTGCACTACCGATGGGCAGTGTTTTGTGACCACATTGAAAAAGTATTGCAGGGTCTCTTTAAGTATTTGTGCACAGGCTAGCCCAGACTTGACCTAAATATTCAAGTCTTCAGATGACGTCCTCAGTACGTCACAGTGCAACTAAAATAATCCCAAGCCACAATGTGATTATGAGGGTCGCTGTATTGGAGCACTTCAGTAATTTCGACCATCTGGCTTCTCACGTACATGTAAATCGAAGTGCACAGACTCCTAGTATTTTCGTCTCCGTCACAAATTTTAGAGATCCGTGTAGCACATTTGCGGAGCACCTCCCCAGAGCGCCCCCTTACACGCACACACACACTTTCTCCCTCTACAACAAGCATCGGAGGAGGGAAAGTGTCTGCAACTTTTCCGTCATTTTAAAAGCGAGCACATGACTATGCCATAAACCCAGCAAGTAGTAGTTTAAGCTTTTACAACCAAAGGCAAAGACTGCTTGAGATGAGTTTTGTTATTCGGCAGAATACGATAATGGGCTAGCTGGTTCGTGCATCTGATGCAGTTCTGGTGCTACAAAAAAACAAAAACAAAAACAATTAGGGTGCTCATTTCATTCTTTTTCATCTTTTACTGTGTAGTTTTTTGCTCCAGTACCGCACTTCAACCATTAATTCTGGGACACCATATCTCCTCTCGTTCGACTTCATGCTAGGAAACTGTGGCGGGCAACTCCAGCGATTTGTCATTATTCACCGATTTCACTAAAGCTTTCAGCATATATTCTTTTCGGTACCTTGACGATACGTTTCAAATCATACAACTTCACGTAATTTAATTTTTAGGAGCTTGTTTGCCAAGCTTGTCATGCTCGCATCTTGTCTGGCGGCGGCGGTTGCAGCACCTCCACATCCATGGCCTCCGAGATGGTGGGCACATGGCGTGTTTTTTTTTCAGTTGTCCCAACTGCACGGAGAGAGCGTGTTTCCAGAGGTTGGCGTGGTCCGCTCGTCTCTCTGCTTCACGGCGCCTCACAGAGAATCCAAAAGTCTACCGCGCTGTTAACAGAGCTTGTGTGGGGCGAGGAAAAAATCGGAGCGCATCTACGGAGTGAATGATAATAAGTGGGGCGAAGCTTCGGAGGGTTTTATTGGTAAACCATGAATCCTGTATGTCTGTCTGTCTGTCTGTCTGTCTGTCTGTTTGTCCATCCGTCTGTCTGGTTGTCGGTCTGTCTACCACTCACACTAGCGCCACTTGCTGTGTGATCCATGAACTAGGCGGTGTTGCGACCCGCTTTTGCAGGCACTAAAGATCCGGGATGAAGATGGTGAGGAAGGAAGAAAATGAACTTCATAGAGGATTTATTTACATTATGTACATAGTAACAGCTACATTAAATAAGCTCTACATTGAAAAGCTCACCATCTAAAAAGCTTCATGTATACATTGAAAGGCTCTCCATCTAAAATGCTCCCTGAGTAGCCCGCGAGGGCTGATTCGCGAGGGTTCATACTGCACTGTCCAATAACAGGTCCCACAGCACTCACAAGGGTCATTATGCCGGTACCGCCCCCAACATACGCACATACACAACCAAAACACGTGCATGGTCCCGGCGATGTTGTCTCATCCGGTGAATCATGCTTCCAGCTAGCGGGTGTTGCGACTCCGAGTCCTGCGGGTCTCAGTTTGGTAGCGGGCCCCTGTCCTAGGACCCATCGACGAACAAGTCAGAGGAGGTGCTCGTAATAACGACAACATGGTTAGTAGCTGACAATTAGAAAAGAGGTGATCGAGTGATCAAATACGAGAAGTCAAGAACTGTACAAGAGAACTGGTGAACTGTAGAACTTAAAAGATACAAAAAGTCTTCCGCTTACATAGCGCCGCGTTGCCAACCCTGGGCGCATTGTCCGCGGCTTCTGCTAATACGGCGCTTCATGGTGTAGGTGCTCCACCCACGAAGGAAGGGAAAGACACCACACAATGCATGTGGAGAGGGCACAGTCTACATGATGCCCAAATAGTATGGTCACAAAGGCACTGCACCGACGTTTCGCACACGTCACCGAGATTTCGTGCACGTCCAATGATCTTAGAT